GTTAAGCAAAGGGAAAGCCCCCAAATAAAATAAAACATCCTTTCAGCAGTCGCAAATCAATGCCACAAGACTGACATTTTTGAGCTTTCTCACAAGTGAGCCTTCAGGGCCAACACAGCTTAGAACATCCCTTTCTTTGCAGTCCACACATACTTCTAACAAGCTTGGGCACATGGCTTTCCAGCACACTGTAAATTAAGCAGCAAATTAGAAGGGAAGAAATTGCTACATAAGCAACATGGGAACAGCAAAATGTGATGAGCTGCAAGTATAACTGCTGTGAAAAATAGGCAAAAGAGCTTTTTAAAAATTATAAAGCAACATACACAAGCATGTATAATTTGTTGTTGTTTTGGAGTGCCTACTATTTGTTTGCGATCAGACATCATAGGAAGTGAAGACATTTAAGACATGCTTCCTCTCAGAGCTCAAGATTGCTTCAGCTCTTGGCTACCATGGGCTCTCTTTATTACAAGTATTCAACTGGGACAAAGTGAGGAGGTATAATGGCAGATTCTTGCTGCCTAGGACTAACCCATGCTTTCCTTGTCTCTGACCACTGGCAGACAGGAACCACGTGGTTCTTGATTTGTGCCAAAAAGAGTAGAAGGCTGCCCAGCCTAAGGTCCTTACACAGGAATTGCATGTTTTGCAGCCCTGCTTGATCCTGCAAGTGCTCAGGGGGGACTTAGAGTAGGGTTTCTCTGCCAAAAGGTGCCTCGAATGTGATATTTTTATAATCCTTTCTTGAGCCATCTTAGCAAGAATGGTAACCTATAACATATAAGGGCATTTATTCACTTGTTTTGAAGAAAACCTTTTAGAAAGTATAAATTCATGCATATATTTGTCCCCTATAGTAACAGAAATGGTCTTAGGTTCATAGGTATTCAACATACATATTTGGAACAAATCCTTAAATGAATGAAGACACATTCGAGGGTCATATTGCCAGTAATTCCAGATATATTGTCATAGAAGAAATTATTTTATGCCTATGGTCCATTTGTTAAATAGTGATTTTTTTAAGAGATAAAAAAATATATGATGTCAAAGCACCAGAAAAACAAGAGCACAAATATTTTGGAAATGTTATAGTCCTCATATAACAAAATAGACAATCGAGTAAATTCTGTTTTCTTTTGTAAAGTCACCCTTTTCATAAATAAAATAATTGCTTATAGAAAAACATTTTCAATTGAAATTTTGTGTTTTCCCTAAAATAATGAGCAACTTTTAAACTGCATATGTGGGACCTAAATTAGTGAAAGAGGTTTTTAAGCAGAGCAGTCCATATTTTAATACACTATGACTTAGGATATGCAATGGGGGAAAACAAATAGAAAGAACCAAATCATATCTATTGTATTTCTATTGTACTTACCATCAAAGCCCGAGCAACTATATATAGTGCATTGGCAATAATGCAATATCTAGTAGACCAGACAAATTAATGTCACAATAAGGGATCCTTGCTGACCTTCGTGGCAACAAGGTCACTCTCATTCTTGAAAGATGAGACAAAATAATGAGATCAATTCTGTAAAACTATAAGACCAGTGGTAATTCACCAATGACTTAGTTAGTAGAGATTAACTGCAATTTTGTAGAAAAATATGTCCTGAATATTTTTCAGGCACTCTGACATATTTAATTAAATACAATGAGGAAAGAAGATTGAAAAAGAATTTAATGTGATCTACATTTTCCTTTCCTCTCCCTCCTACTCTGCTTTAGTACCTTGCTGCCCACTTCCTCCCCATCTGAGTAACTTGATGCCAATTCTCCTAAAATCCATTTTACAACTTCCTTATTGCCTCTGATATATAACTTACTAATAAATATATTCATGTACAAATGCAAACCCTGGACACAATTGGCTTTTAGAATCAGGGTCAATGGTCACTTTTATTTATACATTTTGCCTGTTACTATCTTTCGCTTTCTTCTCGAAAGAAAGGTCTACCTCTCTTCATGAGGGTTATTCATGCCTTCCTAATTCATTCCCAAGTAAGATCATCTTAGAATCTTATTTGTTAGCATTTTTAAAACACTTAATGCATGACAAGTGATGGGGTCGGGGAGGGTGATAACCTTCCCTTTACCCCAGAGATGTCTCTCATTTTGTTTTCACACTAGTCCACTTAGGTAGGTTCTATAATTGTCCTAATTTTACTGACAAGGAAACTGAGGCTTAGATAGGCTAAGTATATTGTCAACGGTCCCCCAACCCTTGGTGAAGTTGAGGTTAGGACCCATGTAAGTTTAAGCTCTAGCTCTTAATAATATACATTGCCTTTCATGGATATTTTCTCCTTAAATTAAACTCAGCCAATGTGGAGCACCTATATAAAAACATATGTACGTGTACAAACTTTACTATTTAAGTAGTCCAAGAGATCTGGCTATACTGCCAATATTATCTGGGTGTATAATCAGCCTTTCTTTTATTGCTCTACTATTGATAGACAACTCATTGGCTACCTTGTATCACTAGTTACAAATTTGCTTTTTAACTGACCCAATTATAGAATAAAAGAAAAAAATCCATATGCTTTAATAAAGTAGAGGAGCAAAAGACATGAATTTAATATCTAGATCAGAGGTTGTCTAACAGAGAGAAGGGCTTTGGTTATTATTGTTTAGGCAAAAGGAGAGGCTGCTGAGAACATGGGCACAATGCAAATAAAGGGGCAGTTAAGAGGCTCTGAGTAAGAGGAATTTGGATTTGCTTATAAGAGAAAGCGGCAGTGGGCTAGAAGGATGTGGACAAAGAAGGGCCAACATACGGAGGAAAACAGTTGCTTTGTGAAATGAGGAGCCGAGGCAAAGTCCCTTCTGATACATATATGTTTGCAAGGATCAAAATACATTTTTAACTGTGAGGTCTGGTGTGTGATATGTTTCCTGTCGTGTCTTTAAGATCATCAGTAAAAGTTTTGCTACCATGATAACCTCAAGGTCATGGTTGCTTGGATGGCGGATGAGCTGCAGGATGGGGCCAAGGAGAAGAAACTTTGTCCTCTCTTTTGGTGGATGCCAGAAGGTGTTAAAGAAATGACTGCAGGGATCAGAGAAAATACCTTCAATGACAATAGAAGAGCAGTAGTGATCCCCACATTATAATCTGTAAGGGAAACATTGGGGTGAGCTTGGGGGTTTTACCAGGGTGGGGGTTTCAATCAATTTATCTCAATCTGAAAGGGATGGGGAACCCTAGGGGATAACTTGATGATGCTATAGAAACTCAACCATCTACATTTTTGGAAAGAACTGTTATGTTTGCGAGAACCAGAGAACAGACAATGACATAACTGCTTTGTAAAAGTAAATTTGAATATATCAGCATGTGCAGTCAACTTATTTGCTGACTTAAAAACAGCGTGACGAAATTTTTTGCCTGTTAAACCTACTATTGCCCATAATGAAAGACTCTATATGCACTAATCACAACATACAGCCTTATGTTTGATCATAGCTTCTAAAAATTCATGATACAGGGATTTTTAGTTATACTCAACACATTTTTCCTTCAGAAATCTGATTGGCTGTTCTAGATGCTGTGAATGATATAAATTGAGCTCTTAGTTGGAAGAAATCTATAGGATCAAGCATCCCTGAGTTTCAGACAGAAACTTACTCTGAATACATATATTCAAAGGTATGTGAATTTTATTCATTATTTGGTGTCTTTTCTGTTGTGCCTATTTCTTTTTCTGCATTTCATGTTCAAAAGCTAAAATGTATCCTGCACTTCTAACAATTTATGCTGTATGTTCGGTTACTACTTCAGTTGGACCATAATTAAATTAGACTCTAATTATTAAATGAATTATTTTACTATCTAATGCAGCAGAGTATATTTCTTTACATTTTAGTTCTAAAATCCTAAAGCACTTTTTAGGGCCAAATTTCAAAGCAAAATATTTAATTAGTTATCAAATAAGATAAAAATAATTTTTCACACTCTGTGATCCACTGCTTTGAAAATCGTTTTATTTAATGACATAAAATAGAATCATCAACTAAAGATTTTTTCCTCATTAATTTAAACTTTTAACAAATCAGATTTAGGGGGTAGAAAATGTCAGTTCTATAGCCTGCAGCATTGTCACACACAATATTCACTTCCTGTGTAAAATTTAAAGTCTTTCTTCTGACAGTTTTCAAAGTTAGTCAATAATTTCTACCACAAAGCAATGTGCATATTTTAGGATAGCCTGCTTTGCTTCATGTCTAAAGGGTTTTATTTGTGGAATAATTATACCGCAGTGTCAAACCAAAGGAAGATGCCATTAACTAAATATGGAATCTTATAAGTAGATGTCATTTAATATTCATGGAATAATCACAGAATATTAGTGCCATCCTCTCCCTTTCATTCAACCACATCTTTTGCTCCACATCTAGAGCTCAGAGATGGTACCTGAGAGTCTCGCCTAAAGTCCGACAAGACTAGAACTAACTTCCACTCCTTCCTTACTTGATTTTGGCAAATTACTTACTGTCTTTTCTCAGAGGATTAGGCTTTGCTTGTCACTGTAGCAATGCTCAGGTAGACTGTACAAGAAAAATCATTTCTGTGCCTCCTGGTTCTAAAAGTATCAAACACTTGTGCACCTTGATGCTGTCCTCAACTTTAGAGCCAACTCTCTTTTAATCATTCGTTGTAAGATACACTTAGCTTCTATGACTCTAAAAGCTGTACAGGTATAGGAAAATGGCATGCCAGATACCACAATTATTCACATCCCTACAACTTGTTCAGCTCTCAACCCAAAGGGAAAGCATCTTTATCACTGTTGTGGCTACAGAAAAAACAAAATGGGCTGAGCACTGGGAATCACATAAGAATGAAGTAACCTCACAAGGATTGGTCCCACCCTTTCCGCTGCAACCAACCAATATGGATTATGAGGGTTTTATGGAGCATTAATTATGTCCATATTTGAGAAGAGATAAGAAGAGTGTGTGTTGACATATTTCAGGGCCATCAAGAGATGGGGACCTGGATCTTGTTTGCCTGCCTCCTGGGAGCAGCCTTCGCTATGCCTGTGAGTAAGACACCCTCTGCATACGTCACTGTCCAATTTCACAAGCCTGGAAATAAAACTGCCCCATAGTTGATAAACTTTAAGATTTAAAACAGTATTAAGATCAGATGTTCTCAAAATTTTTTGTGTTTAAAAACAATTTAAAGAGCTTGTTATAAAAAAAAAAAATTAGATTCTCAGATTTCTCCACCAAAGATTCTGATTTAGTACTGCTGGGGCGGAACCCAGGAGTCTGCATTTTAATAAGTCCCCCAGGACCTTCTGTGGAAATGATAAGCTTGTATCATTGCCCATCTCTAGATGGAGGAAACCTTGGGAAGGGACACTTGAAAGGCCTACAGAGAAAGTGCTTAAATCAGCCTTAGGAAAATACTACAAAAATGGCAGTTTTGTCTAAAACCCAATTTCTCAGAAGTGTCCAAATCTCTTCCTGCTCTCCAAAATCCATGGCTGTAACCTTCAGGAGGTCCCATTTCTATGTGAGGAACTCCATTCTTGAACCGTCTTTCTGTTCTCCGAGACCTGATCCCTTTGGGTGTGCCCGCTAAGTACATGACTTCTGTGTGGCTGGGTGGCCTCCTACCTAGGCCACTACATATAGATATATTTTCCGTTGAAATGTACCAAGGACCAGGAAGTCTGGCCCATTCTTCCTAGACATGGCTACAAAAGGTCGGAGAGCTTAGAGCGCATGAAGGCAAAGTAGGATAAAGAGCAGTTGATACAACCAGAGGCCAGCAAAGCATGCATATCTGCCTCCTTTCTTCCTCTCTCACCCCTAAGACCAAAATTCTGTGCTCTGCCTTCCTGAAATCCTACGTGGGGCAATTCCTAGTCCCCCGAGGAGCCTCACATTATAAAGTCAGCCCTTTTCCCTGCTCCTCAATTCAACACCCCTGCTTTCTGACAGCTCACATCAAAAAGGTATAGAAAAAGCAGTAGGTGACTAAAAAAATTCACGCTCACACAAGAGCGAATTACCCCTCTTATGAATATCAGCATTTTAAAAGAATAGTGACTTGACATAGCTTGGTGTCCGAGGAAGAGGGCGTGGTTGTCTCTCCGCTCTCTCTCACCCATTCCACGCCAACCAGAACTCCAGAATGCAGCCATCGGTCGCTTGGCCTGCACTTTGCACAGGACCGACAGTCCTGGTTTAGATAATTATTCAGGTTGTTTTTAATTTTGAACTTTCAAATGGTTTTGGTATAAACACATTGGCACAATAATAAAAAGAATCAACCTAAACTTCATACATCAACTCTTCCATTTTCCACGGGGACTTATAATGTTTCTACTTCACTGCACCCATCTTGTTCTCATATTCATCAATAATCCACATGGAGTTGTTTCTTTGGTTGTTGTGCTACTTTGCACACGAATTAATGAGGAATCTCTTTGATACGTAAGCGCTCCTCCACCTCCTGATTTATAGGCAAAGGTGTGAGAGACAATTGTCTTGTTGGTATTTTGTAACTGTGTAAGAGAAACACATCTCTTCCCAACATGGAGTTTCATCAAGAAGTAAGATGGCGGGTGGCGCAGAGCAGGATTGATCGACAACATGGACGGAGGGGTGCCTGAAGGTCGCTGCAGGACTATCCCGTGCTGGTTCCTGACTCCAGGTCTCTCACCAGAAGACTGCAACCCTGGGAAAAATCTTTTAGTTGCTCTGGACCTCTTGAAAATAAGAGGGCTCTTCCCCTACACCGCATACATGTTCAGACTAAAAGAAGGCCTCAAATATATTCTGCATTATATGGATGTTTTTAAGTAGCTTCAGTCTCTCTTAATGTGAACAATTGCATATTGACTTAATCTCTTCCTCTCTCCCTTTCCCTCTTCTCTCCCTCTCCCTCTTTCATTTTCTTCTCCTCCTCCCCTCCTTCTAAAAGCTACCACCTCATCCTGGGCACCCTGGTTATATCAACTTCAGCTATGAGGTAATTTTTCTCTTTACTAATTTTGACCATGGTTTGCGTTTACAATGTCCTGGGCTCTGTGAAGAACAGTATGTTGATTTTTCATTCAAGATGTTTCTCAGTGCCGCTTTTTCAGTTCCCACTAGCAGCTTCCTGGTTTAAGCCCTGATGAGTCGCCTCGAGCCTGCCCGAGCACACTCCTGCCCGGCCTCTCTGACTCAGTCTCTTCTCCTTATGTGGCTACACAAGCATCCATCATGACCTATCACTTGGGTGGGGGCGGGGCTTGCACGGTAAGGCAGAAAGTAACTTCTGGCTGAACAGGTTTATTCTATCCTAGCCCCTAAAATGTGGGGCATCAGGTAAGATGTTACTTAACATCCTTTCCAGCTAGAAAATTCCCAGTTCTAAGATGTTTATACTCTTATGTGTCTCCCTCACTTGTCTTTACTGAAAAATGAGTAACCAAGTAGTCTATGAGACATTCTTCAGAACAAGAAAAAGCTTGAGAGTTCTGGAAATTTCAGTTGAGGCTCCCCTCAATCCCATGCTACCCGTGAAACTTTGGCAAATCATTTTCTTTCTCTGGAACTTTGTTTGGTTTCCTCATCTGTGGAAGGGAAATAATTATAACACCCACACTTCAAAATACTGTTTGGGGAGCAAAATAGTCAAGCAACAGGAAACACGCTTTGTCAAGTACAACTTGAGCAAGATTACTAATTGTCTGCTGTATTGCTATCAAATGCTGTAGCACTCTATTAAGGAGTCTCTGCACCCGAGGTTACCTAGATATATACTGTTTAGAAACGGAGTGACATTCTTACTTCTTTTCATAGGTTCTGATGACAATCTGTGAGTCTATTTACTCTTACGAGCCGAGGAAGAATGTTAATAAGAATTTGAGGCGAGATTTTGTGTTGAACTTGAAAAGGTTTACATGTTTGATCAGAAAACCTGTATTCACAGGATGAGGAACAGTGTTTCTGCCTCCTGTATTTTCAATTGTGACATCATATCAGAAATCATACGATTATTATGCCCCATTCATTTTTCTGTTTTGTTTTGCTCTTGCAAAGAAGAGCAGGAGCCACGGACTTAAACACAGTTACTACTTCTGTCACTGCAGCCAAGCTCACGAACTTCTTTAACTTTCCATGACCTTATCTGTGAAAGTGAGGGCGATGCTACTTGCCTCAGAGGATGTGAGAGAAGATGAAAAATGTGTGTTTGATGGATATGACGCAGCGTCTAACACACAGGAAGCACCCGAAAAGTGTTCACCCTGTTCTTTCTCTGGTGGAACCCACATTTTCAGATTATCAGTCTTGATAGGAGTGCATTACTGAGAACATATTTCATGTAACTATATTAAAACAAATGTATTTTAATGTTTCTTTCTCTTAAGGTGCTTACTCCTCTGAAGTGGTACCAGAGCATGATAAGGCAGCCGGTATGTAGACATTTTGTTCTTTGTTCTCTTAAAATATTGAGCATGCATTTCAAGTCCCTTTTAAGCGAAATAACATATCTAAGCCACATAAGACACTAATAGGAAGTCTAGTTTGTAAAGGGTCTTATCTGTGTACACAGTTAGAAATTCTCGCACGGGAACAATGAATAAATACTCATATTGTCATAACGGCAAAGACAACATTGCTACTTCTCCAGCTGGAAGTCAATGGAGCCAATGGTAAACCTGACTCTTTGTTTTTCACCAGTACACTTCCTATGGTTACGAACCCATGGGTGGATGGCTGCACCACCAAATCATTCCCGTGCTGTCCCAGCAGAATCCCCCGAATCACGCCCTACAGCCTCATCACCACATCCCCATGGTGCCAGCTCAGCAGCCCGTGGCCCCCCAGCAGCCAATGATGCCAGTTCCTGGCCAACACTCCATGACTCCAACCCAACACCACCAGCCAAACCTCCTTCCGCCCGCCCAGCAGCCCTTCCAGCCCCAGACCGTCCAGCCGCAGCCTCACCAGCCCATCCAGCCCATCCAGCCCATCCAGCCCATCCAGCCCATCCAGCCCCAGCCACCCGTGCACCCCATCCAACCCCTGCCACCACAGCCACCTCTGCCTCCGCTGTTCCCCATGCAGCCCCTGCCCCCAATGCTTCCTGACCTGCCTCTGGAAGCTTGGCCAGCAACAGACAAGACCAAGCGGGAGGAAGTGGTGAGTATACTCTGAAGCCACTACACCACCTGTGAAAACGGTAAAGCAAAATTGGCCCCCAGAGCGCTAGTTCTCAAGCCACCCAGGTTCCTCAGCATCAGTAGCTACAGGTTATTGACTCTATTAGTCCAAGCCTGGGTTGTAATGTTACACTCTCGACAAGTTTATCTCCATGGCTTAGAAATGAAGACCATGGCCTTCGGGGGGGGTTTAAATTCTTTAATTCCTACCAGAATATATATCCCTGAAATCTATGAACTTGAAGGGCAATAGTGTAAGGGAATATTTGTTCTCCTTGTCTTTCAAGTGTTAGACTAGAAAGAGTAGGCTAGAATTGTGCTGAAGATGTTTTTAGAAGGGTAATTTTTGAGAGTGAGGGAATAGAAATATTTGAACAGGTAGGTGGGAAATCTCTTTAAAGACCTACAGGAAGATTATCTGTCTAAAGTGGTTTTGAATGTGACTTGGAGGAAGCTTCACCGTACAGGATGTCAGAGACCTTGTCAGTGCCGGGGTTCTATAGGTTAAGCTTTTAGCAAGAAGTTCTCACAGTCAAGCCCAAGATCTTCTCCCATTACAGAAAGCTCTTCCAAATGAGTGGGAAATAGCCAATGGAATAAATGGTCCCTATTCATATTCAGAAACCTTTACCCCTGTGTATATGAGATTATATGATTCTGCTGTATGTATGTGTGCAAATGCAATTCCAAGTTCTAAATGCTATTGATGACTTTCTACTGAGAAGCAGGCAAGGGGTGAGGTGGAAATGACTTGGATGGGGAGCCAGGAAACCTGGGTTCCAGTTTTGGCTCAGTGAGGAGATGGTATTAAACAAGGTACTTCAAATTTATGAGTGTTTTCCCTTCTATAAAATGAGAGAAAGTGACTAAATCAGACAATTTTTAAGCCTTTGTCCAAGTACAAATCCATAGTTTCCCAATTAAAAAATTATTAATATATGCCATATATAGCTTCACAGTTATGATGACTATGAGGAAGAATTTTGAAAATTGATTGTATCACAAATAATTTGGTGCCTATAGTTGATTATTCTAGTCTAAGGTACATGTTCCCTCTTTGTAGAGAAAATACATTTATTTATCTCTTTATTAATAATTGTACTTCATAATGTGTTCACAGCCTGCCAGAGCTATTTATTAAAAGGTGACTGGACAAGTAGTTTAAACTTTTTAAAACTCCTGTGTAAAATAGAGTATAAATATTGATAGCTTTGTAGAGTTGTTTTATGGAAAATAAAGTGATAAGTTCAGAGCCTGGAATGCAGGAAGTACTCAGTAAAAGGTATCAATTGTTAGTCTATTATCAAATAATAGTTTTAAGAGTCCTGCAGGCAGGAGCCTCCATCCTGGATACCTCATGTTTCATGTCAGTGAGATAAAAAAAACTTTGAAAATTATAGACTCAAACGTAAACGATTGTCTATTGTTTTGGCACAGCGGAAGCTATACATGTTATTGTAAATGGTAATCACTAAGGATATCTGTAAAAGATTTTAATTGTTTCTCTTGCTATTTTCTTTCAGGATTAAACGATCAGAAAATGAGAAGAGAACTGAAGTAAATACTTCAGTTGCTTTTAGAATGACACAGTGATTTGTGCCTAGCATCACTTAGTAAATTCTGTAACTAAAAATACGTACCATTAGCAAACAATAAAAATGTTTTAAAAATTATTCACATCTTTGTGTTGGATTAAATTTCAAGTTTCATGTCACTTGAGAGAATAATTTATAATGGCTATTCTTGAATAAGGTAGGAAGCGCTCATTTATACCTACAAATTCTGCAGGCAAAGGAGTACTATATTTCTTTTTAGAAGAAATTTAAAATGTGCTATCTCGAATCTTTTTTAAAACAGAAGTTTATATATTAGTTATAATAGTTGATAAAGTAAAAAGTTAGAAACATGCACTGTCTCTGAACCTGAACCAAATAAAGGGAAGTTTATATGAAGAATTCTTTACATTAAAAAAATAAGCTCTTGAAAAATGCTTATATTGCAAAACAAATTAAGACTTGGAACACTGGCTTTATAATTCACACCACATTAGTAAGTAAAATGTGGTCTTTTGATCTCATTTTACTGAAACAGATTTTTAAATGAAATTATGTGATATGGATAATAATGTGCTGAATTTTAAATTATTGAGGTAATTAGTTTTCCTAAGAAAACTTTTATTAGGTGGAGCTTCAAATAATCGCAGCGATTCTACATATAAGTCCTTTCATTCACTTCATAATCTTTAAGATAATAAATTCTACTGTACAGTCTTCAAAATGTTAACAGATGCATAAAATGGACCCCATACAAGATTTCTTTCCTACTCATAATTATATGAATCCTTTTTTCCTCCTACACCCACACGAAAGTGTAAACACTCTTTTCGGGATTATATTACAGCACCCACATTCACTTTCTTCCAGTGCTTTTATGATTAAGGCCCCTTAATCATTTTCTGGAATGCATAAACATAAATTACCTGGGAGGGTGCCAATATTCAAGCAAATAACTTGATTTTAAAGACTTTAGATTAATAAAAAAGTAAGAAAGCTTTTAATCCATTGGTATGGGGCAAGCCTAATCAATCTAGTAAATATTTATTAACCACGCTCTAGGACAAGGCACTATTCCATGTTGTAGTGAAAATAGTAAGTCCGCATCCTTAAGTAATCCAGAATCTACCAAAGGAATAAAATAAGCTCGCAAAGAATACCACAGGGCCTAACAGCAGTGATACTATGAGAGAAGTGTAGCTAAAGTGCTCTGGCGAATAGAGCAGAAGCTGTTAGCCAACAGCTTTCCAACAGCCTTCCTCCCTCCACCACTCCTTCCCTGTGGGCAGAGCCAGAATTCACCCCAGCACCTGGCCTTCCACGAGCTCAGGAGAAATGAGCCTCCTGCCCTGTCCCAGGGAATGAACGTTAACGCCTCCATGTCAGTTGTGGCATCTATTACCATAACATACCATATTCTGACTCAATACAGCATTCGTCCTCCTTGCCAGTGACTGGTTTAGGAATGAGTTGTGGTAGAACCTGAACAATGAATGAGGACGATAGGGAAGTCTGTTAGGAGAGAAAGAGCTTCTGGAAAAAAAAAAAGATTACCCTTTCATTATACACACACACACACACACACAGACACTAGGAAAAAGTACTGTTCTGTCTTTGGATCTATTTGTTGGAGGATGTGATGCCTGGAACTCTGTCTGCCATCTTGTGACAGAGGGCCAGGTAGAAAGATGGAAAGTCCCTAGGTCCTTCGTAGCATCGTTGTGTACCTGAATTAAGCCACTCTGGAGCCATCTACCTCTAGGTAGATGACACCCTCTATTTCTATGCTAGTGTTTTCAGCTGTGGGTCATAACTGATTAGTGAGTCATGATACCACATCAGAATCCCCATCATTTATGTCATTATAGCAAACTGTCTCTCCCAGCGATGCAAAGCTTATATTGCCAGGAATGAGGAGAATTATTTGAATGGCATTGAAAGTCAGTGACTTTCCTGAAAAAATCTGATACTTTTATATATATATAGTATCTTTATTTATCTATATATATAGTATATAGCATATACTATATACAGTATAGTAGAGTATATAGTACACACACATACACACACACACACACACACAAGCATATTCTTCAAAATATATGTCCCCCAACATACTTTGTCTTCCACAGCTCATGAAAATATTGTCATTACATTCATTCCTACTGAGAACAATTTTAAGGGTGTATGCAACGATGTTGCTTAAAGACTGTATGTGACATTGGAAACAACATAAACTTTGGAGTCAGCCTGGAGTTTCTTTCACCTTTTCTGATAGAAGAGGACTCTCTACTTGGGAAAGTCATTAACAAAATAAGTCTCCCTTGATAATTTAAATGATATATATATGTGTATATGCGATATTCAAATCACCCTTTTCATTACAGGAAAAAGGGCAGGTTTTGGAGTCTGGAGACTAGTCACTATGGGATGAGATATACAGCACAAGATAATTTTAACAAGAAACCGACACTTGTATATTAAATGTCCAAATGTCTTTTAATATAATCATTCTCATGGTGGTCTTCTATAATAACACTGTTCTACCTCATTAAACAGTGTATAGTAACCACAACATAGCGTCTCCTTGATGGTCCAGAATGAGACTTACTCTGTGTTGCCTTGGAAATTCAGAGGTAATAAGACTCTTATGCTTCTTTTAAATTGCCCCATATGACTTTCTTATTCTACCTGCTCTGTTCTGCTCTAAACTATCACTTCTTCTTCTTCTTTTGGTTAATGTGTATTAAAATCTTCTAATGTGTATCTTGTTTTGTATATATATTCTCCCTAACAAAATAAAGGACATTGGCCCTGGAATTGTTATTCTGAAAGGTCCACAGTTATTTTGAGACTATTTTATTTCTTGATTTCCCACGTGCGGCAGATGGTCACAACTGACAAAATTCTGACATATAGCTGTCACCACAAACTGTAACACAGCTGATGTAAATTGAATAAAATTAAATAAATAAAATTTAATAAAATTCATTAAAACTCAGGCTTAGTCAGATGCCCAATAGTACATGTATTTGAATCAAATATGGAAGAAAATTACTAGACGCTAATGACCAAGACTCAAAGTCCAGGTTGAAGTAAACAGCGATGCTGATCATAAATGCATTAATAAACCCAAACCTAAATCTAAAGACTTCTTAAAATAATAAAAACACAAAAGTAGATTATCTTCCAAGCTGTGCTATGTCTTTGAAATTAAATAAATAAATAAATAAAGTTAAATAAAACACCTCCAAGAAAATCTCATCTCACCATAAGCACTCCCATGTCACTAATAAATCTGAGATCTTCTCCGCTATCATCCACTCCTCATTGGTGAAGGCTTCCATAGGCCTCATTTTTTTCCAGAGTACAAATACATGTCTAGGAATTACCATAACAGTCATCAAAGTGTATGGGAAGATGTGCA